AGGGGGGAGAGGGTGGAGGGGTGCGGGGTGGGGAAATGAGAGGTGTCGAGGGGAGACAGGCGACTGAACTGAGAGTGTTGGGATTGGTCATTGTTCGGTTTTCCTGACGGACTACTGGGGAATTTCTTCCTTGTTTTCTTCTCTTTCTCAGGTCACGGGGTATGGGGAGACTGATCACGTTTGTTTATGTTTGTGTGTTCGTTTTTGTTGCTCTTGGTTGTTGGTTCTTTTGGTGGGTTTTTTAAAGGTTTTTTTAAAAGTCTCAGTAAACAAAACGTATTCGAAGAGAATGGAATGTAGAAGCATATAGAAGAAGTGTGGGTGGAGGGGAATGGGTGGAAAGGTGCCCTTTGGGGAATGTAGGGGTTTGATGAAATGGGAGGGGAGGGGAGGAGGGCAAAGGGAAGAGTTCGCAGAGGTGAGGGCTTCTGATCTTGTAGTGAGTAACGCCTTTTACAAGACATTTTATCTGTGGAGTTACTGAAAATGACTCTGTTTTTCCCCGGCGCGATTTCAGTTGTGTCCAAAATGGTCTGGATTCTGGATATACAGCAAACAAACAAACAAACACACATACAGACACACATACATACTGGCTGTGTCGGCAGAGAATACTAGATTTACTCTAAGAACATTCTGGTAATGCTCAGCGATATGACACACGAATAAGGTTGCTACATTTTGAATCAAACAAAGAAATCGAAAGACCTGTTGTAAACCCTCCAGCCCAAGCTGAAACAGCTCAATGTTGTTTATCGTAGTCTCTTTACTTTTGTTTAGAAGGCATGTCTTCTTTATTTTTAAAATTATTTATTGTTGTTATAAAAGTAACAATGAGCTGAAAAGATCAAGAAAATGAGGGCAAATTTGTAAAACTGGAAATTGAAAAAGGAGAGTAGTATGTCAAAAAAGAGTTGAAGCACTTGTATGCTCAGTATTTAGGGTTATATTTCGCAGAGGGCAAAGGGGGAACAATGTTTATTTTCATAGGCGCATTTTTAATTTGTCCACATTGCTACAGTTCTCTTCATCACAGAACTCGTCTTTTCCCTCTCAGTTTTCACGGGCTTGGGACCGTCACAGAGTACACAGTACACTGAGGCCTGATTAAAAAGACGGCGCTACCGAGCGCTCACGTCTGGGGGAGTTAGTGTTAGTTAATTAGTTGTTAGGGTTGGTTAGTTAGTGGTTAGTGTTGGTAAGTTAGTAATTAAAATGGTTGTTAAAATGGTTAATGGTGGGTAGTTAGAGGTTGATTTTGGTTTATCAGCGGTTAATATGTGTTCTTTAATTGTTGGCATTGATAAGTTAGTAGTGGGCGCAGGTTTGTCAGTGGTTGATGGAGACAGCTAATGTTTTACAACTTGAGTTTGTTAAATGAGGTGTAATGATGGTTAGCTAGTGTTTTAGAATTGGCCAGCTGGTATTTCATAGTTAGCGTTATTCAGTTATGGTTTTATAGTTATTGCTGATTAGTTAATATTGTTAAGTTAAAGTTAGTATTCATTACTTAAGCTCTTTTCTGAATAACTTTTTAGTCTGTTTTTCCTTAAATTTAAATCTAGTAATATTTAATTTACAACTTGAGTTTGTTAGATAAGGTGTAATGATGCTTAGCTAGTGTTTTAGCATTGGCTAGCTGGTCTTTCTTAGCGTTATCCAGTTAGTGTTGTATAATTATTCTTGATCAGTTAATATGTTACAGTTAGTTTTGATTACTCAGTGTTCTTTTCCTTTCAGTTTTTGAAGTGTATTTAATTTAGTGTTTTTTAGTTTGTGGAGTACATTTACTTAATATTGGTTACTTTATACCTAGTGTCAATTAAAAAGGGTTTTTTTTTAATTCGTTAGTGTTCGGGTTAATCTTTTAAAAAAATATGTTATTGCTTTTAATGGTACCAAAACTGTAATTAAAATTAAGTCAGCGAGATTTAAAAGAGCTCGGTGTTGGGTTGTGCTATTACTGTTAGTAGGAAAGAAAAATTAGTATCAAATTAGTTAATAGAAAGAAAAAAGGTTGCGACTACCAAAGGTCCGTGTTTCTCACAAACCCTCCATAATTCCCCTGAGCTTCTCACGAGTAGACAAGAACTCCAAGAGGCCGGGAACAGACAGTCGCTTCTGAGGATCTCCGCGCAAAAGTCCTTTCAGAACTTCTCTGTGGAGGAAAACAAACACAGATTGAGGTTAGAAAAGTTTTAGCAAATTAAATATTAGTAAAAAGAAATGATAACATGCGTTTAAAATGCTTCAAAGATGACACATAACATGATATATAACTGGATACCAAGCGATGCAAGATGGTATTAGTAATGTATAATAATTGAAGCATAAAAGTCTTCAGTTATATGAAAAAAATGCTGTCAAAGATATAAAAATGTTTTAGTTTATTTAAGCCCCGTATCCACACAGAACTTCATCAACGTTTCAATACAATTTATACTTTCACATCAAAGCATACAACGAAAACGTCTATGGTGGAAACCATTCTACTGCGTTCTAATATATAATACAATTCAGTAAACCATGACAGTATTATAGCTGTCTTACCTGAACATTTCGGGCAGAGAAAAATTCCTCACAACGTCCAGTAGATCCAGGTCTGCTGGTTTGAGTCTGAAAACCAAAGACCACAGCGTGGCTCCCAGTGCGTATGCGTCCATCTGAAAAAAAAGAAAACAAATGACCGGAACATTAGACATCGGAATCACGTTACATTAATATCAAACATCATAAAAATTGAAGCAATTGATAACGATATCATGCTACAAATAATATAGATAGATTGTGTAATAAAAGTGATGACACCCTAATACCGATGAATTAGACAAAAGGGTGAAAGCGTAGACATAAAAGTAATAATATTTCTTTGGCAGAATAAACACAAACAGCAGATACCTTTCTGTGTGCTAAAAACGCACGTCTAACCTGTGTAATGACCACAACAAATCAAGGCTGAAACGTAAAAAATAAAGAAGAAAAACTTACCAGAAAAGGGTCGAATTTGTAACCAAGGAAAAACTCAGGTCCATGGTATCCCAGAGTTCCTCTCCAGCGACTCACGGTGTTTTCTCCATCAGGTAAGATCTGAGAACAACCAAAGTCTCCGAGGATGGCGTTGCCGGAGGCGTCTAGGAAGATGTTGCCTGGCTTCACGTCCCCGTGTACACAGCGCTGGTCGTGGAGATATCTCAGGGCACAGGCGGTTTGTACGAAAACCCGTTCCACTTGGTCCCATTGGAGCGACTGACGCAATCCATCCAAAGATCCCTGAGAACACAGGGGCATATAGATAGCCAGGAAGCTGTCACACGTGACCACCCAGTCCATCTTCATGAGGTGCGGGTGCTGAACGTTGTGCATGATGGTCAACTCCTCGGTGCTGTCCTCGAGACCTCGATGTCGTCCTTTACTGTCCAGGTAAGGGATCTTCTTGATTGCCTTACGAATGGAGTCGTCGTTCTTCATGGAAGCTTCCAAAACTAGCGAATTCTTCTTCTTGGCAAGGACACGCACAAACTTCAAGTTGAAATTGTTCAGAAAGTCTCCATCACGAATGACGGTGACATCGGGAAACGTGAGAGTAGCCATGCTAGATATCTGCCGAGTTGTCGAGAAATTCTGTAGAGGAAAATACAAGACGTATCCAACCTGTCACTGCGAGAGCGATATGCTGAACTGAAGGAATGTCCAGACCCCTTCACTTTTATAGTGGAGTCAAGCGTCCCCCTAAAGAGGGGTATTTGTCTTCAAAATCACCGACACCGATTGTCGGTCCTTGCTTTGACATAGCTTCCATTGTTCACATCACAGACGCCGGCTGCATTGACCATCGGACATCAAAGGGCGGTCACCCAACAATGACCATCAGACATCAAAGGGCGGTCACCCAACAAGGACCATCAGAATTCAAAGGGCGGTAACTCTACAATGACCTTCAGACATGAAAGGGCGGTCACCCAACATGGAACATCAAACATCAAAGGGGGTCACCCAAAACCGACCCGTAGACATCAAAGGGTAGTTACTCAAGAATGACCATCAGACATCAAAGGGTTGTCACCCAACAATGACAAGCAGAGATCAAAAGGGCAGTTTCCCCAAA